CAGCAAGAAAACTGAATATTCTCCTTATAAATTCACTTGAAATACATTTCCTCCTGATAAATATAGCAAAGCATGAATACCAACGGATATCATTGAAATACGCACAACTAAAAACCTAAAACTTCACAGTAGTCGACAAAATCAATAACGATAATAACCAATTAAGACAAAAACGACATGTCATGTACAGGAGACCGAGATCCCAAGTGATGACACTAATTAATTATTCTCCATTTAGCATCTAGCTCTAATTCTTTTTCCGAAATTTCTACATCCTTCGTGAACTTCTTATTGATTTTAAAGAGAAAAGAGACACTGTTTTATCATTGAACGACCGTTTGTATATTCTCTGATGCGCTTACAATTCTATTAAGAGTAAGACTCTGGCATTTTATCCATCAATTACTATTAATGTTCTACTTTACTCCTTATAACGTATTCTCTGAATTTCTTAAAATCAGTAGATTAGAAAGGTGTGCATAAATGCCGGTTAACTTTCCAAAATACACTGTAGTCACGTGCAAATTTTATTGTCATGCAAGATTTTTTCATAACCATTTCTTGTCACTGTATAAATTAAAGATTGTTCTTCTACGTAATGCAGAGATATATGCATTGTGATCAATCAATCAAGTTGTTCGTGTATATCACAATTTGCATTTAAAAACTGCTAGAATAATTACAATAAAATTGATATGATTTCTTTGTTCATTTAGTGAGTTAGATGTCAAACGGATTTAATAAGTCAGAATTAATATAACTCCTGAAGAAATGATGAATATCAAAAAGACAGCTAAGAAACTCTCATGAGATTCCAGAAATTTTCTGAATCACGGACAAGAAATGAAATGAGACAGTGATATATGAAATATGCTAAGATTTTCAGTTCAACAGACAAAGTTAATTCATCAAACGGGAATAAACTATGGAAAAGTCCAGGTTTCGAAACTATCCCTTGACATCTTCTATGGAAGATATAGGTAGCCTGTACCTCAGCACAAAGATCAAAAACAGACACTGAATCCGTCCTTGGATTTGATTAGTTTTCAACCTGATCTAACAACAGTCAACATTACTTCATAGAACACAGACCGACAGCACGTGTCAAAGACAATAAAAAGGTAGCCGTTATTCAATGTTAAGAAAAGACTTATTACCAACTTTATATCAGAACCTTCAAATAATTGTTCACCAGTTACAGGTCTGTCTGTCTGTTTTCGACATAGAACTTTGCACCAATGTGCGGCAGTTCAAGTCGCCACACTCCATGTAGCACACAAAGCGAGAGAAGAAATGCATAATAGAGACAGTAAACAGAGGTGTGAGACAAAGAAATAGAAGTGACGAAGAACAATGTAGTTTCATTGGAAATCATAGGTCACAAGGAGTGGATGTATCTCCACCAGCAATTGAGAACAATTTTGAGCCATATCACCAATTGTATCCGATCATTGGTTTTTACCGTCCCGAGGACCCCAACCAGGAAGTCTACACTTTCCTACGTGACTTAAACTAACTGTTGTGGATTTCATTGACTAGTGAAGCCATGTTTTGGTTTGACCGCCGCTATCTCTTTTCCAGCCCCACCCTATGTCAGCTAACATTGCCAGTCGGTCGAGGAAGGCGATGACTAGGTATACGTAACACGTCCTAACCACCTCAATCGATGTAATTTCCCAGCCTCGTCGATTGATTCCCCTCCTTACCTAGCACTCGACGCCTAACCTCAATATTGCTCACCTTATTATACCACTTCACACGGGAGATAGAACGCAGGCACCTATGATCAAAACCAGCTAATCTTTTCATGTCTTCCACTCTCAATGGCCAGGTCTCACAGCCATAAAGGAGGACGGAGCGGACTGATGAGCAGTACACCCGCCCTTTGGTCAATAGCCAGCCGGATATCGGGTCCACGCCAGAGACGGCGTAAACTGGTATATACGAAACTAGCCTTCTGTATCTGTGCAGGTGAACAAGGAATATAAACAGTACAGAGGGTTTGGAAGGCAAGGTTGTTTATATTTAACATTGAATGAATCTAATAAGAATTCCGTTTATAGATAAGTGTTTTAGTAAAGCAAAACTAAGCAGTAAACAATTTCGCCGACTTATATTTAAAGTTCCTCACATAGGGTAAGATACACATTCTCTGTTCACATTTGAATAATAGTAATTGTTGTCACTACTGCAACAGAATACTAGAAATACTGTATATGTGAAGATTATTGCTTGGTCGCGTTTTCGTTATTTGATGACTCAGTCGTTAATAAATCGTTTACTCTTACGTCTAAATCTTCAATGTATCTAGAGTATTGTGTTTTGAGACAAATTCACAGTCAACAATACTTCCGCATTATATTACTAGTTGTCAGTAGGATTTAAGTTACTAAGAACACATTCTTCATGTACTAGACTGTGAGACACACTTATTCCACGAGAACTAACGATGCTACTCAACTGTCCAAGCTAAAGTAGGTGGAGCAGAATTCGAAACCAAAGACTTACTGACTGTAAGCGCCCAAGGCAGTGAGACATATCTCCCACATAAAACTAACAGATATATTAAAACAATCAATCCCTTTGATAAATTTGAATAAGGCATTAAGAAGACAAATTTCACGAGATGATATCATTTCGTAGTTTCTTTACAACCACTTTACAACTAACATCGTTAACAATAATAAAATAAAGACCATGACAATTACTCAGTTAAATAAAAAAACAAGCACATACTAATGACCAATCATATTAAGATACGTCATGTTGTCCATGGTAGGCGAAAATTTATGTCTATTGTTTTTTTGTACACACAGTCTAGGCTATATGTGATCAATCCAAAGTGCTTTTATCACCTTCAATAACCTTGAATTAGAGTTATGTGAAATAATTGTGAAACAGTCATTAATATTGATTTTGTGACCTGACATTAATAAGTGTTTTGCAATGGATGATGCTGGATTCCTATTCAGATTAATCGCGTTGGGATTTTCTATATGATTTAGTAGCCATTTTGGAACATGTTCTTTTCGACGACATTGGAACATTTTGTTGGTCCTCTGATTTAACTCCTTCTAGTAAAGATAATCTGGACTGGTTTAAAGTTAAACTGGTGGACTTTTCTCACCAATTTCTAAATGCTAGAATACACCAGAAAAATAGTTTGTCAAAAGAATACCACGCCGCACTTGGGGAATCAATCGAAAAAGATAATCTTATTATCCTTAAACCTGATAAGGGAGAAGGCGTTGTCATTATGGACAAATCGGACTATCAAAATAAAATGAATGATATCCTCAAAGATCAGTCCAAATTTCTGGTGACCAATGCTACTGAAAATGTGCTGCTTGTGGAAAAGCAGATCAATCGTCAGCTTCAGATTTTACTGATGCATGGTTTCATGAATGGAAAACGTTATAAACAACTTAAAGCAATTGGATCACATACTCCCCGGCTTTATGGCCTTCCAAAGATCCAAAAAACTTGGAACCCATCTTAGACATGTCGATTTCTCCATACCATGAAATCACAAAATGGACTACAGAGGTCCTTACGCCTGTAAGAGACTCATTATCTAATCATTCTGTAAAGTTCATTTGATCTGACAGATAGACACCTTGAACATTTAGGAAAAGGTTATGTGTTTAATTGACATAGAATCTTTGTTCACCAGTGTTCCCTTTAATGAAACTGTTGATTTCATTTGCGATTACATCACAAGCAATGAGATAAACTTACCTATTCCTGTAACTTACATCAGAGACATCATCTTAATGTGTACAGAAAATATTAGATTCACCTTTTCAAGAAAAGGCATACGAACAAATCGATGGTGTTGCGATGGGTAGCCCTCTCGGGCCCCTATAAGCAGATATTTTCATGTCGCAATTGGAGAGACAAATGCAAGGTATGCTTGGAGAATTCATGCTGTATAAACGTTATGTAGACGATACTCTCATTATTGGTAATAATAGTAAATCTTTTGAAAACTTTATAACCCTATTTAATCATATTCATCCAAATATCCGAGTGACTTCCGAACTAGAATCGAATAACAAACTCGGTTTCCTGAATATTACTATGACTAGGAGAGATGATGGAACAATTCAACGATCTGTTTTCGGTAAACAGACATGGAGCGGACAATATCTTCATTTTACCAGTTTTGTTTCTATCCAGTATAAACGTTCCCTAGTGAAATGTTTGTCCTCAAGGGCCCCAAAAATATGCACGAGTGACACATTGATCGATGAGTTTCCACATATACATTCAGTTTTATTAGCTAATGGTTATCCAGAGAACTTTATCACTTGTCACAGTAAAAAAAAAACCACATCTCGAAAAGACAGATTCTGTACCAAAGAAAGCTATCTTTATTAACCTACCATTCAAGGGCGACCAGATTACGCAGTTGACAGCTCAAAGACTTCGGTCAGCCATCAAACGCACATTCTACGCCGCATCTCTTCTCATTTGTCGAACATTTTCGATCCCTGTACCTTCGATTAAAGGACGAAATTCTATGGACTTTACTTCAAACTACATCTACAAGTTCACCTGCAGCTGCGGTGACACCTATATTGGTAGAACCAACAGAATGTTCCAATGTCGTCGAAAAGAACATGTTCCAAAATGGCTACTAAATCATATAGAAAATCCCAACGCGATTAATCTGAATAGGAATCCAGCATCATCCATTGCAAAACACTTATTAATGTCAGGTCACAAAATCAATATTAATGACTGTTTCACAATTATTTCACATAACTCTAATTCAAGGTTATTGAAGGTGATAAAAGCACTTTGGATTGATCACATATAGCCTAGACTGTGTGTACAAAAAAACAATAGACATAAATTTTCGCCTACCATGGACAACATGACGTATCTTAATATGATTGGTCATTAGTATGTGCTTGTTTTTTTATTTAACTGAGTAATTGTCATGGTCTTTATTTTATTATTGTTAACGATGTTAGTTGTAAAGTGGTTGTAAAGAAACTACGAAATGATATCATCTCGTGAAATTTGTCTTCTTAATGCCTTATTCTAACAGATATATATCTGCAAGTTTCTCATATATAACATTAGAGGATATTTCCATCTTTCAGTGGGAAAATTACAAATTAGAGATTGATAAGTTTCATCACCAAAAAACAGTGTACTCAATGATAACCCCAAACACTTTCAGTGCAGTACTGTACAATGGTATATTATTACTAAATATTTATTTAAAAATGAGTTGAACATAGGATGAGTATAGGAAGTAAGAATAATTACAAATATAATTGAGTCTTAGCTGGTCCAACTTCCAGGGCCAGGGCCAGGCAGGACTTTTCCGATAACACCATAGCCTAGAGTAATACCACTAGAACGGATAGTGAAACGCTGTCCAACTTCAAGAGCCTATAAAATAGATAAAAGACCAAGTTTATTTAGTAAGAATCGAAAATAAAATAGTATAAGAAATACATAATACGATGTGTGCATCGTTTAATTTGCTAAATACTACGGGGAATGAAAAAAGTTCCTACTTGTTAAATCCTCTAAATACTTTTTTTCAATAAAAGTTAATGGCTTACAAGGAAATAATTCAGAGATTACCATCCCATTGCAGTACTCACCCCGAATTTATTTTTAAATAAACAGTTTAGTAATAAAAAATCAGCTAGAGAGAATTTGAGATATGTCATATATCTCACATACTTAAAATGTATACGCAATACGTATCTTAGAGAAGCTATTCACAGATAAGCAATAAAAGATGCATTCTATTTCCTGAGTTAGTTATGCTCCTCAGATTTATACCAAAAGGAAAGTAATGACTATTTATTATACACAGGATACAACACAAATGGATAAGGCTACACACAAACCCATTATAGACTAATACTGGTATTTAATGAAATTGTAGTTTCACAATAAGAACGGCACTTTGTAAACCACAATGTAGTTAGGAGACGACCACAAGACGATGAGTTACTGGATAATTAATTAATATGCTCAAAAACAATAAAAAAACTAACCATTTTCTTTTGGAAATGCAGGTTAACAGCAGCATCTTCACCGGGCATAATCATCTCTTTACCTTCAGGAAGTACCAGAAAAGCAGAACAATCCCATGACTTGCTGAAGACATGAAGCTGATAATTATTTGTAAATGGTTTACTGCGTCCACCTTCCTTTTTGGAGAGCATATAAACCTAAAAGATAACGAGAAGGAATTCACCAATAGCGTAATAGAGCAAAACAGTCAGGTAACTATATGGGATACACACAGAATAAGAATCTTTTGTTTCAACAAAATACTTTAGGTTATTATGCTTATTACCTATTAAACAGGACCATAGGATTACAAATGCTAAGAGAAACACGATTTCTCAAAATTAAAGCTATGCCAAGTTTACTTAATGTTATTTCATCTCTGCACTTTTTCTCTGTAAACACTATCAAGGATCAGGTTTAACTGGCTATCTTAAAGCTAGAATTCAATTTATTGTTCCGCTACTCTTAAGGTGTTAGAATAAAGGTGTGACTGATAGGACACTAAAATGAAAAACGAAATAAACTCGTTTAGTACCATCACTGAGTTCAGTTAATAACTCTTTATGAAAGTACGTTAGAAGTATGTAAATAAACTGTCATGCTTCACAAAAGTATGATAAGATACAACTCACTTTCCAAATACAACTTAATTATTCACCATACATTTGTGTAAATGGTAATGACCTACACCTCATACTGTTTGGCTACTCAGACTGAATTTTTACACTTTAAATATTAGCTGAAAGTTGAGTGTTTAAGTCGATAAACCAGATACCAACCAATAGTTTGGGAAGACTTAGAAAAGTAATGAGAACTTTCCCAAGCATGTTTGATGCATACTCATGAGTCTAGGAAACATGGTGATTGTGAAGTTTTAAATAGGATGGAAATATTTGTGTAAAATGTGAAGTAACAAAAACAGTAATTTTTATGATATAAATTAAAGATATTCGACCATAGCTGTTTAACAAATATTATAAATTACATGAATTATAGAAACAAACCTGGGATTGGACGTAATCATGCATTGATAAAGACTTCGGCTCTACAACAAACTGACCCCGTCGTATATCATCACGTTTTACACCTCTCAGTAAAACTCCAACTTGATCACCAGGTTCTGCTTGATCCAAGAGTTGATGGAACATCTCAATCCCTGCAAAGTTAAATAATTAGTAAATTTAACAGTTCACTAGAGTTCTCCAAAGTTACATCACAATGACAATGAGAGACGCGTCTGTATTAAGACTGATCAGCATACATTACACTTATTACAGGAATTAGTACTTTCAAAGTAAATACTGCAAACTATTTTTCAATTAACATTAGATTCCATCATCATGCAATTGAATACAAAGATTGGTGTCTTTTACAAATATTTCCACATGACGTGGGTCAGGTTCAAGTAATCACTCAGTGCATTTGCTGGTCCAAGCTGCCACACTTTACAAGGTTCACAGAAGAACTATTAGAGTCGATTCGAAATGACTGAGTAACAGTACTAAGTTAGACAAAATGAAATGTATTAAGTGCATCAGAAAAGAAGTGTTATCCTTAACCCTACAGTAATCGAAAGAACTGTGCGATATCATGCCATACACATCAACAAGTAGAACTGTTCAAGTGTTGGTTTGCTGAGATTTGATTGGCTACGGGATTTCACCATAAGCTGACATTGCTTAGAGAACCATTGGAAAACCTGAGAGTACTGGCAAAGTTTAGAATTCATGGGCCATTGAATCGGGTCCCAGTGGCTCAACGGTCTACGAACTCGCCTTGTAACCAGAAGGCCCTAGGTTCGAACCCCAGTGGGTGCGTACTGTGAAGAGTCCCAAACCAAGATGAAACAGCTGTCCAGTACTCCTTGGAGGTTTTCCAATGGTTCCCTAACCAATTTCAGCTCAAGTAGAACTGTTATTTGGATTTATATTGTATGCTAACTATGTGGTAGACTGGATTATTCCGGAAACCGTATGTGGAGAGCGAGAAGACAGGAATATGTAGAATACGTAAAAAGACTTTACAAGATTTCAATTTCGCGGATGATTTATATCTAGTGTCAGACAAACTCGAAGACTTACAGGTAAAATTCAACACGTTCGCAGGAGAAACACCGAAGACACGAATTCAAGTGACGAACATACAGAAGACGAAGGTGATGAAAACAACCAACCAACCAACTACAACAACAAACAGCACCGATCACCATCAATCGAAGAAATTTGAAAGAGGTCACTCCCTACACTTATCTAGGAAGTTAGCGCCGTCTCAACTACAGGTGACACCAAGGATCACGATATCAGAACCAGAGTGATAAGAGCAAAACAGACCTTCATCACTTTGAAATCAGTTCCGGAATCTTCTGAACTCAGAATAAACAACGAAATTCGGATTTTCCACACCAATGTTAAGTCAGTCAGTTCTTCTGTATGGGTGAGATATTTGGCGTGTTACGCAAAGCATTTCTAACAGACTACAGACTATTATCAACAGCTGACTTTCTTGGCTCCATAATGAGGACAAGTTGGCATGGAAGAATTAGCAACGAGAAACTAAACTCTGGTAGTGGACTGACCAAGAATCTTTTGCTCAACAGATATTCCGAAAAATTTGGAGGTGGATGGGACGGCATGGAGACGGAAAGGTGAAATCGCGAGTGGAATCCAGATGGGGCATGGAGGAAATGAAAGGTTATGGGCACTTGTGGAGCTAGCTGAAGAGAGCTGCAGTAGAGGACGAAGTAGAGATGTGATGTTGAAGCTTTCTGCTCCATGCAAAACCCAAGGGAGTAATAATAATCTGTTATTTACTTCAACAAAAACCTAAGATTCCGGATTCCTTAAGAGCGAAAGTAGAACTCATAACGAATAAAGTTTGGAATACGAATTGTATTCTTTGACCACTGTTTATTCTTTATGATGATGAAGGCATTTGTGAGCAATAATACTTTTGCAATTTACCAGTTTTCAATCCGCATATTAGGAAAACAATAACCAATAATTCAAATAAACGTGATAATAAATGCTTCATTGCAACCTAAGGAAGAATACATTTCTGTATCATATCTTTTGTAATTAGTTTGATTACTAAAAAAGTTTGGATTACTAGGGCATTTCTTCCTACTAACAATGAATACGTAAGTTAAAAAACTTGTTTTGTGGCTGCAGTAACAGCTGCTTAGTGTGCAGTCGTGGCTGGATCCAAATCCCATTTTATTGCCAGAGGTTTGAAGAACCAAGGTAGGTTACCAGTAATTATCGTACATTGCCAGGTGCAGAAATCTTCATGGTGATGACCTTAGTGAAATTATTTAGTGAGCCACAACCAACTTAAAAAAACCGTGGATTTCATCAAAATTTATTAGAGAAACACAAAGATAATTTTAGATTTCTGGTATATCAAAATGAACCCGAAAAATAAATTAGAAACCCAGTAATTTACGTTACGTACATAGGAAGTGCCACATATCAAATTACATCATACCTGTGACAGTGGATTTTAAAATTTGACTGTAGCCGACAATTTCTACCGGAGCTTGTAGTTTCAACGTGCCACGCTCTATGCGACCGGTGACGACAGTACCTCGACCAGTAATAGAGAAAACATGTTCAACTGGTAGTAAAAATGGTTTATCTTTCTCTCTTTTTGGCAGAGGGACTGAATCAATTACATCAAGTAATTCTTCGATTTTTTCTTTGCCCAATTTAGGATCACGATTCTGCTTAATAGTAACTATTACAACAACAGCCTACCTCTAGTGCACAAAGAGCAGAACCACTGACAATCGGTGTGTTATCTCCATCAAATCCATATTGTTTTAGAGTATCTCTCACTTCAAGTTCTACCAATTCTAGCATTTCTGGATCTGCTGCATCGGCTTTGTTAATGAAAACAACCAATTTCTCGATTCCTATTTGCTTAGCTAACAATAAGTGTTCTCTCGTCTGCGGCATAGTCCCGTCTGTAGCTGCAACGACCAGGATGGCACATTCCATTTGATTAGCTCCAGTTATCATATTCTTTATGTAATCAGCGTGACCAGGACAGTCGGTATGAGCGTAGTGTCGGTTGGATGTTGTATAATCAACTACTGCTGCATTAATTGTTATACCACGGCGTCGTTCTTCAGGTGCGGCGTCGATTTCTTCATAGCTTCTATAAACAGATGAATTTTTCTCAGCGAGAACTAGAATACTCAGGGTTTTTGTATTTCTTCTCACCTTTAGTGATAGCTGCAGTGAGAGTAGTCTTTCCATGATCAACATGTCCAATAGTACCGATATTCATATGTGGCTTATCCCGAACATAAGCTGCTTTTACTCCAGGAACGGCATAGAAACGGACATTTTGAGCAATCTTGAAATTAAGAAAGAAATGTGCTTACCTTCAGTGGGCATGATATTGAAGCTGCAAATTTATTTAATGGTAGAGAACCTATAATATCAGGAAACAGAAATAAATAACGATTTTAACCTTGAAATAAGTAAATTAACTATGCGCAATACTTTACACACCCAACTAATTGCTTATTTGCTAGATAAAAGCTAAACAATACAACTTACTCTCTCACTAATATAAGATTTTCGAATTCTAGAAGAATGATATTTAGGGAGTTTTTACTAAAAATGACCTTGGAATCACATCTAATTAGACAATTAAAGGGTGAATATCAACCATTTCTAGCAGATGGTAAGACTTGGTAGCATCGCGAAACATGACTTAATTAAAGCCTCAATCAATTCGTTCTGTAATTACATTGTGATCGAAGAAATGTGGTGGAAACCAGCAAACTTATTGGCTCAGAATAAACCTTAGAGGTTAATTGGCACCAATAACTTACAAGTATATCACTTTTGCCATGTCAAACTAATAATATAGTAGGTGTACTGGATTTTGCATACACACTTAGAATTCTCCACGAAGTTTCGTCAGCAATCTGATCTGCTGCAACGTGGGAACTAAGCCAGACAGTCAACATATTCGACTTTTAAGTTTTAACCTTAAGCCAAGAATCACTGCAAACCAGTCGAGTGGCAACATCTAACATTTAAGAAAGGTGAAACGCAAGCCACAAAACAAATGTATACTTGGTGTTCAGGAATTCCTAGATTCAATTTTAATTCTACTTTTATAGGACTACGTCATTTCTGAACTGTATATGAAAGTGATGTTTCCTTGGAAGCAAATCACTAAACTGTCGACAAAAAAGATGTCAGTATCAGAAAAGCTGAATGATGGACTCAGGATCAACACACCCATTTGAAATATAAAAAGACCTGGTTTTCTTGTCCTTTGACTATGAACCCCATTAAGACCACCAGTATGTATCATATATTAGATACTTTACCGACTTTGATAATTCCATTGGTCATTATTGCTGATTTTCTTATAGACTAAGATGACGGTTTAACTACAAACACTTTTTGGGACTGTCCCTGGTTCGCACTGACTGAGTGACTGGTTGAAGATGTGCAGCAGTTCGAGTTGCCACAATGCATGTGGCACACTAAGCAAGAGAAAGGAGTAGAGATTCAAGGGATAATAAATAGAAATATGAAGCAAATAGAATAGTAATACGGAAAGACAATAGAATTCTACTGGATATTATAAATCACAAGGAGTGGAAGCATCTGAACCAGTTATTGACAATCGTCTCCAGCCATTGGTTTTTACCATCCCGAGGACCCCAACCAAGAACTCTACACCTTCCTAGTTGGCTTAAACTAACTGTTGTGGATTTCATTGACTGATGTCACGTTTTGGTTTGACCACCACTGGCTCTTTTCCAACCTGGCCCTATGTCAGCTAACATCGTCCATCGAGGAAGGCGATCGATTGTTGGGGGTACATGCGTAACTCATGTTCTAACCATCTCGATCGGTGTAACTTTACAACCTCATCGATTGATTTCCCCTCCTTACCTAGCACTCGACGCCTAACCTCAATATTGCTCACTCTATTACATCAATTCAGCCTCGCTAACGATACTCTAGCTTTGCGGTCTATTTCAGTCCAACGTTGATTTGGTGATGGAGGTCGCTAAGTTAGACAATGTCCTTTGGTGCCTAAAGTTGGTGCTGAATAGGAACAGATGATTATCTGAGCAGAACTGTAGATGATCACCGTTGTCGGTTCATCGCCATGCATACCACCTATATACCTCTCAGTCTGGCACAACTCCCTTACTTCGGCATTGAAGTCGCCTGCTAAAACAACTATATCTGAGCATTTTGCAGCAAATAAGACAGTTTATGGTAGAAATCATCCTTTAGTTCATCCGAACTGCAGTCGGGTGGGCCGTAAGCGGAGACTGTGAAAAGACAACGATGGACAACTCCGTCATTCCTTCTAACGGACCCAGTCAGACGGACCACACACATACGACCATCCATTGGGTTCCAGCCAAGAATGGATTTTTTTCAACCTAACACTGTGCTTTACCTAAACCTGTAAGTCCTCGCGAACTAGCTGAGGGGTCTCCTGACACTCTCAATGTGAATTTTGCAGATTTACCATGTCGGCTGGGTGGGGTTAATTTAATAACCACACTCGGGTCTCGTATTTGTGTCTCCGAAACATAACATGCATCGATGGCTCGAGATGCCAGTTTTGGGTAGTGATGTATATTGTCCCCTTTGGCTGAGGGTTCTGATGTTAAATGCTCCTATATGAAGTTGGTGGAGTGGTTTTAAGAGGCTATCAAGGGTGTTTTGGCTCTCGTCATTTGTGGTCACAGAATCAAATGAAGATGACTCACTAGCCTGCAGAATAGTATTAACAGTAGGAGGGAAACAACATGATAAGGGTGACAGATAAAAGAGGATGGTTACCAGGAGGGTTTCATATGCTTTAGGAAGTGTGAGCGGTTACTACTTTCCGGCTGCCCACACTGTGGAAGTTGATTTATTCTTGGGGTGCTGGAATAAGAGTTTGTGTTGCGTGACCTAAGAGCCTAGGGGACAACTGCTTGAGATCGGTCACACACGGCTTGTATAAACTGTCTTCTTGGATTGGTTCCGTAACTTATCGCCAGTTACGGACCACCGTAGGGTAAGTCGGGACGGACAATTTATGGGGTCGACCTTTTCTACACTCTTCTCTCCAGCATAGTCATCTGAGGCAAACACACCCTATTGCTGTTTCATTCCTGTTCCCCAGCAGTACGACTTCGCCCGCAGACCCCTAGCATAGTGTAAAAAAAACTTACACAATGCCGGCAATTTGCTTTAGTCTAATCGCTCTCCTAACACTCTTCCTGGCATGGTAGGAACTGCGGGAATACTAGTTTCAACCAAAGCAGCTTGTTGGGTCATTGCGAGATGCAAGCCCGACCACGAAGTCAAGGAAGCCGCTAACGGATGGGTTCAGATTCGCAAACAGGAATACAACCGATTTAGCAAACTAGCCACAAAAAAAAGTGGGTAGACTCATCACCATCGGTAGATCTACAATACATTGGAGTGATCATAAACGTTGACCAGTTTGAAGCAAGTATCCAATTCACACAAACTACGTGTTACTTGAATTCAGTCGACAATTTGTTATCATCCTAAAAAACTTCCACAGCTGAATCATCACATAGGTTTGCTTTTACATTCAAGACAATAAAATTTCACTAACATTTGGGTTGGACACTAGTCAGTCGGTCCGTTCTCCAAGGATACGTACAACATAGTTGTTCTCTGTCCTGAGAAACTCCTGGAATCCGTTTGTCCTCATATATCATTTCATTAATCGTGGTTTTATTCAGACAAACATTTATGAGGATGAATGAATTTTTAGCGCACTACCAGCTCAATAGGAAGTCATATAATTGTCTATGGTTGGAGGTAGTGTTGTTTAGGAAACCGAAATCTTAAAACAATTGTGAGAGGCAACTACTGTTTAGGTTTTGAACAATGTTTTGATTTTGACAACTTCCAGATTAAGTTACCATTACTGCCACCTTAATTTTTACCGGCAGTTGTGTGGGCGAAGACTGAAAATATATTTTGACCAGTGTCTTGAAAATAGTTTGCCATAGCCAAGTAAAAAAAGCTGCTCTCTTATACCCCATTTTCCAACGTGCTCTCTGCTCTCAAACGTATTCATATTTCCACATTGGGTCAGCAATAGTTGTCTTCATGACATCTTAGATTCGTTCCATGTGAAGTGAACAACTTTCGTTAAGGACAGCATGAGCACCTTTATGGAGTAAAACATTTTAGCAATAAAATGATAGTTTAGAACAGTGGTATCTGTCAATAAAGTTAGTTTGGGAGCATAATAATGGTATTTCGCAGGTCTGATTCGCCAGCAATAATCACAGGATATAAGGGAATTGCAAGCAACTCATCAGTGTTTTTCAGGCGGGTGTTGCAGAGGAAGAGGTCGGTGAATCAGGTATAAAATCAAGAGGGCACATAACTATGACGGTACATCTGAACGTAGAACTTTCGAATCAACTACAAACATTTTATGACAGCTTTTTTTAACCGTTGTTCGGTAGATTTCCAACACCACACCAAGCCAGTTGTGGTTTGATGGGGAAAGGGGGAGAATCTACTGGAAATACAGCCCCTTTATCAACTTTTCATTACAATGTAAACTATAGATGCTACTTACCCACTTGCTTTTAGTGCTACCACTATGCAGTATCATGAAGACCATGCATTGTCAATACTACCGCACAACAGCTCGACGCCGTCCAAGCAGTGAGCCAATTAAAACATACCCAAAACGTCATTATAGCACAATTATAACAGCAAAGCCCTATTACAGCATATGTTGGAGCACTAGATAGTTAGGAAAGAAATACTATTTTTTGGAATGCTGGGTGGTCGACAATTCATACCAACAGCGCTGTACTAACTTATACGGTCAAAACATCCTGACTACTAGTGACTCAATAAATACTACCTATCATCTGTCTAGTAGGCATATAAATAACGTCACTCATGTACACAGAGACAGAGCTTCGGTGATGTCAACTGCGGATTAGCTTGATTGCTGACCAAATTGTATATTGTTCTCACAAGTCGCAGTGAACCTTATTTAGACCTGTGGTCCACTGATCAGCAATACACTAACCCAGTTTTATTCCTTTAATATTTGATATTAGCCCAGCGTACGTATTAAGATACCTTAATATTAGAACATGCGTTACAAGAGGAATAGTGGTTCACCAAAAGCAATCGTAACTACACATCTCTTAACACAACCTATTCTGGACGTAAACTGTTGTCTAACGAGTCTTAATTAATGCTTACTTACTTCGTAGCATTTCATCGGTGTTACACAATGTTATTTGTGCTTGAAACTTCATCAGTACACATGACTGTATAACACTGTGAGACTTTATCAAAACGAAAATTACCCATGATGGAATTATACTCTACCACAGTGCACAAGTTTTATTCTTGTATCAATGGTTTACATAGTAAAAGTTAAGAGCTTAGGGAAGGCACGATGCACCTGACATTGCGTTTTTGCAGGTTATTATCAGTTAGATGGGGTGCCTGCTGAATGATAACAATATGAAATGATGTTTTTGTCAGAGGTGGCACCGACGACTAAGGGACCGAAATCAGTAGCCTTTGATGTGGTTTTGTTCTCTGAGCTGGATAGTAAGTTTGCGAAGCTTTCATCACCTTACTGGGTGACATCTTCAGCGCATACTTCAAATTGAAGTATGCGCTGAAGATGTCACCCAGTAAGGTGATGAAAGCTTCGCAAACTTACTATCCAGCTCAGAGAACAAAACCACATCAAAATTATCCACCTGAGCTACAAATCTTCTCTATCATATCTAAATCAGTAGCCTTAGATGAAATATGACGACTACACTGAACCTCGGGCAACTCAAGTAATTATGAGTAAAAATGCTAGGTTTGTATTCCATCAGTGTGAAAGTATACGATATGTACCATCTGATACTAAATTAACTTACACAATGACCGTAAACAAGTCACACTTAGCATGGCTTCAAGGGCACTAGAATTTCCCGCCCACTGGCTGACCAAGAGATGTGAACTGCGACCAATGCTGTATCTTCAAATTCGTTTGACAAAAATAGTGAACTAGATGGATCTGATGTCCGTAGCACTTTCAAAAACCTAATATCAAATGTCAAAAACGTCAATACAGCAAAGTGATACTTTTCAGTCTAGCTGTGCAGGCATGAACTAGGATCTTGGCACTGCAAGCACCATCAGTTATCATGTTTTCAGAGAGCCCTTCGAAATGATTTTGAACAAACTGGAATTGCGAGTGAGAACTGACGATAATAGGGGAGATAAGAAAGGGATAAACGAAAACAGACAGGAAAATAGACATAAGGGAAGCCAAAATGTATATGTATGTGAGTATAATTACGACAAACAAGCGGAAAATTGTGGTGCCATCGAAATTCTCCGTGTTGAAAGCTCAGCAATGAATGAACAGAACTTGTGAATCTTCATTTATTCATGCAGCCTACTTTAAAAGAAATTCACTGGCATAGAAGTCACTATGACAGCTCCTAGTTTTTCGGAGAAGAAACACATTCAGCGACACATGTGAAATTTATCAGGATTATCGTCCTCAAGTATGTTCATATTAGACCTAATTGGTTTGTTGTTTGGTTCCGAAGTTGTTTAGTAACTTCTAGTGCTGTGACTTTTAGGAATATGAAGGCCTAATGCTCGAAACCAGCTGATGGTTTAAAATGATTACCCCTTTCATCAGACGTTCCCTAAACATTTGACGTTTTTGAAATAACCTAAAGGTATAATAATAATAATAATAATAATAATAATAATAATAATATATTCTCATTTTTTACATGAGGGACGCCAGTTTACAGGCATCATCAATTCGATAATTTACACATAATATTAATAAGCATATTTAGTAAAGATAATATAAGAAGGTACATTTTTTTCCCTAGCAATTTAGGGTACACCAATTGCATAGGCTTGCATAAATATTGTTTTAATAATAATAATATATTCCTTCCTGTTTACGCAGGAACATACCAATTGTACAGTCATGGATAAGTTATTATATAAATTACACAATTTGATGTATGATGAATTTACAGTTTTGTTGTTCTCTCTGACATGAGAGTCAGTCGGAACAGTCTGCTATAAAGTCTGTGTTGCACATAAAGAGATATAGAAATATTGTCTTCGCATTAAAAAAAACCCAGACTTCAGATGAATGTAATACGGATATCTGGGAAAAAAAGCTTGAAGTCAATTCTCTTGTATAACTTTGTTATGAGCAACACCCTTGGCTTAAAGATTATTGATGTATTATGTTGAGACCAGTGATATATTTATTCCATTTTTCGGCAGTCTTATCGCAGTTTCATAACAGGAAAGAAATTTGATCGTGGAGGCGAAAACTAGATAAGGTCATGTTGGGTTGTTTTGCTGCATCAAATGGTGCCGAGGTCGATTCCGGAATTCTCCATTTGCGCCATTTGTGTCTGCATGGCGGACTGTACTCGTAAGTTGGGTGAGACGTTGAAAAACTATTTGAGGACCAGTTGCTTCTTCATTTCAGATCATGAATACTCATTAACAGCATGTTCGCCAGCGTCTTCAAATGGTAGAATTGGATCGTTCCTGGAATTTGATTGATTTTGATTCAGCAACCGGTGAATTTTATATTCTTTTCGATCTGGTATCAGAATAACCGCGGACCATTCCATTAAATATGTCGAATAAGGCATGCAGGAGTAGATCATTACCATCGAATGAATCAACTTGATCTGAGATGCAGCTTTCAGCATGTTTTCGTTATATCATAGATATCCAGGTTTATTGGCGCTGTATAGGCAGTGATTTGGATTAAGACGTATTCTACAGAGTCTCCGTGCCCATTTGAAGTATACATATGCTTTGAAAGGATTACTTTGTTGGCTCCTACCCCACTGAGTGTTAACAACAGCTGCTGTGGATTTATGTATTTCCTCGCCATTTTGGATAAAACATCGCCGCATTATTTTGGGAGAGACCAGTTGGTGGATTATGAATGATGTTCAAGTAACTTTTATCTTTTCATGTGGTGTTGCGGTAAGTTTCTACCTTGTTTTCTCATATTTCATTCGTATGTTGGTTATGGTTCGCCCTTTGTATCAGGTAGACATAGTTTGATCGACTCTTGATTGAATGGGTGTTATTGTCATGACTGCTGCTTTTTTGTCTGGAATTATAAATGGAGGCAAAAAACAACAGGTGTAGTCTCTGAGTTCATACATTAAATGGGCCTATGATTTCTGAAACTCTTACATGGGAATTACCACTGGTATCAATTACAAACTCACTTAGTGTGTCATTAAGTGCCTTTTCAAAGGAGGCCAATGTGCTTGCTAGTCGTATTTTCTCAGGTAGTTTGTTCCATATTTGGGCATACCTAATCAAGAAAAACTTTTGCCTGGTGGCTGTTTTACATGGTTCTATAGCCACTGTACCTTTAGTGTGTCTAAGGTTGTATCCTGTGTTACCTGAGAACCGAGTATAGTTAGCAGGGGTATACACTATTTGGTTAAGAAGCTTATAGAAGAGTATCAGATTTAGTCGCAGTCGCCTTAACCATAATGTTTCTAGTCCCAGGATTTCACATCTGGTAGAGTAGTTTGTGCCGTTATCGGTTCCGAGTACTTTTCGCGTGAAGTACCTCTGTACTCCTTCTACTTTCAGTTTGTCTTCTATGCGTGTACTACTGAATATGAATGAGCAGTAATCTAGGAGTGGGCGCACACAAACCTTGTACAGTAGTATTCTGGATTCGTTTCTGTAGAAGTTCCTGAGTAGGAAACCAATAAGCCTTCGTGATTTCGACACTTGATTCGAGATATGCTCTGAAAATGATAGATTGTGTGAATATTTCAGTCCTAGGTCTAGTACAGATTTGAGTCTGGGGATTTTGTGGCCCTGAATTGCTAGGTTGAGGTCAAGGTTGGAACAGCCTATGCAGAGCCATCCACACTTTTCAACATTAAACTCTAGTCTCCAGGTGTCACACCATCTATCCATTTTTGCTAATTCTTCATGTATGGAGTTCATAGTTGGGCCGATATCTGTATTTGTGCAGGTATATGTCACCTTCAAGTCATCTGCATACAGTATTGGCTTGCCTATACTAAAACATTCACATATACTGTTTATGTATATAATGAAAAGAAGGGGTCCCAATACACTCCCCTGGATGACACCACTGCTGATTGGTCTAGGTCTGGAGGTCATTGAGCCAACTTTAGTTGTCTGATTCCTGTCATAGAGAAATGATTTTATCCA